CATCCGGCGCGCGGCGCGGCTCCCGAGGCCGTCACGCAGGAGCAGGAGCGCAACGCGTTCCTGGAGCGCATCCAGGCCGAGGAGGTCCGCCGCGAGCAGGCCCGCATCGCGGCCGCGCGGCCCGTGCCGCCGCCGCCGAACCGCGCGACCGGCGCGGGCGACGACGGCGACGAGGTCTGGGAGGAGAGCGACAACGACGATCCCGTCGAGGACCTCATCCACCGCGAGCGCATCCGCGAGCGCGACCTGCTGCGGACGCCCGGTTGCCTCGCCCTCGGCCGCAAGGCCTTCCGCCTCGAGGACATGCCGCGCGTCACGGAGCGCGACCGCGAGATCCTGCGGCGCGTGCTCTACATCCTCCGCGAGGCCGAGCGGTTTTGCGCCGGCGTCCGCAGCGCACGCGTCGCGCCGTCGACGGAAATGATTTGGGCCCCTCGACGCGCGCGATTGCGAGCTTCGACGCCTTCGAGGGGTTCGAGGAGTTCGCGGAGACTTTGACGTTTTCGCAGGCGCAACTGCGGCGAGCTCGAGGTCCCGCGGCCGCGGGAGTGGGCGAACTCCGAGCTCGGCGACACGATGACGACGGAGGCCATCCGCGCGCGCTTCGACCTGCGGCGCGACGACGGCGTCTTTTTTGTGTGTTTTCGCGCGTCGCGCGGACGACGTCTCGCCCGAAACGAGCCCGTCGTACGCGCGACCGCCGTTGATGTGGTCCGTTACGCGTCGCAGGCGCCTCCAGCGCCTCTTCCCGAACCACGACTTCCGCCTCTCGTGGTCCGTGCGCTTCAACGTCGTGGTCCAGACCGTCGACGCGATCGCGCTCGACTCGAACCTCGCGCTCACGCGCGTCGACATGGAGGTCCGCCGCTCCACGGTCGGCGTCTACGAGGACTCGCTCGCCTGCCAGCTCCTGGGCCAGACCTACTACGTCCACCCGGACAAGACGATCAAGATCACGGTCGACCTCGTCGTCACGAGCGAGGTCATCGGCGCGTTCCCGCGTCCGCGACGGCCGTCGTTCCACGCGCTCGCGAGATCGTTTCCCCTCGCAGGCACGGCCCCGGGCCGCGCCGAGGTCCACATCAAGGAGCTGGGCTTCCACTTCGTCGACCCGCTCGCGCCCATCGCGGAGAAGGAGATCGTGCCGCGCGTCCGCGTCTTCATCCCGTACCTCGGCATCGAGGGCTGGATCAGCATCACGTCGCGCGGCCCCGCGTCCTTCTCGACGCGCCCCAGAGCTTCGTTCGACGCGTCGAGAGCCTCGCCCGACGCGCCCATGAACGCCTCAGGTTGAACGACGGCCACCTCATCGTCGAGCTCAAGTACCTCCAGGCCATGCACGTCAAGAACCGCATGCTCAAGAAGTGCTGCTACACGCTCTACCTCCTCGAGCTCGCGGACAGGCTCCGGGGCGAGGCCTCCCGCGAGACCCTCAAGACGGCGCGCAAGAACGTCGTCGAGGTCCGCTCCCGCGTCCGCGAACGCGCGCCGACGCGACCGCGTCGTCTCCGTAGGCCGAGGGCGAGTACCAGCTCGCGCTGTCGAACTACCGCCAGCAGGAGCTCTGGTGCTCCCAAAAGGTGTGTGTGTGGGCTTGCGAAACCATCGATCGATCGCCGTCCCCTCCGCAGTTCGACATGGTCGTGCTCGCGCGCCCGACGCTCATGCGCGTCATCCGCAAGTTCGCGAACGCGATCGCGCGCAAGGCCGCCGAGGCCCGCGGCGAGACCTTCGTGCCCACGCCCTACGACGAGACGGCCGTCGACGCCGTCGTCGTCACGGCGGTCCCGCCCGTCGCGCCCGTCGTCGCGCCGGAGCCCGCGCCGCCGGCCGTCGCGGCCATGGACGCGCGAAGTCCGCGTCCGTGATTTTGCACACGTTTTTTGTTCGAATTGTTCTTTTTGTAGGTCTCGGCGCCGGCCGGGCCGCCGCTCAAGGCGCTCGAGGCCATGGGCAAGAAGGAGCTGGGCGCGGAGCTCGACGCCGCGGGCGTGCCGAGCAAGGGCCGGGCCGTCAAGCACACCGCGATCGAGGTCCTCCGCAACCTCGTGCGCCGCCTCCGCGCCGGCGAGCCCGCGGCGTCGCTGAAGGTGCCGCGGAAGCCCTACAGCGCCGAGCAGCTGTTCTGCCTCGACAAGGCGGAGCAGCTCGCGTGCCGCGCGAGGACCCCGCGTCCGTCGACTTCGAACTTTCCCGCGCGCGGACTTTTCGTCGTCGCAGGCCACGCTCGTCGCGGACGGCGCCAAGAAGGTCGTCTTCCAGTACGGCCGGCCGGGCAACGGCACGGACTACCTCGTCGCGCGCTGGCGCGGCCTCGCGGAGACGGACCCGCTGCGCCTCGAGTTCGACGAGCTCGCGCGGCGCGACGTCGCCGCGGCGGCGGCCGACGAGCTGCCCGTGGACCGGCTGCAGCGCGCGCCCGACCCCGGCCTCGTGAACCTGCCGACGATCTGGCCGCGCATGCGGTTCCCCTTCCGCGTTGCGACTCCGAGGCGCCGGGCGACGAAGGCTTTTCCCCGCGTTCAGGTACGCGCAGCCGGAGTGCGGCGTGCGCTACCCCTACGGCTCCAAGCTCGGACTCTTCAAGGGCCGCGTCGGCGGCGGCGTCCGAGGTTTTGTGCGATTTGCGTCCGTCTCGTCCTCGACGCGCGTCCGCGAGAGACTCGACGCCTTCGATTCGACGCCTCGACCGCGCGAACCTTCCGCGTGCTCTAGTGCTTCGGCTGCTGCGTCTGGGCCCAGTGCGCCGCGCGGCCCGAGGAGTTCCCGAACCTGCTCAAGGCCCTGGCGACGGTCCCGCGCGTACGCGAAGCCGCGTCCTCGATTTCGAGCATTTGGAGCGACGCGACGTCTCGCGTAGGTCTGCTCTACCTCACGGCGGTGCTCCGGCCCGCGCCTGGCGGACCACGGCGCGCATCTCTGGATCGTGACGCCGCTCGTAGGTCGACGTGAACGACATGGAGACGCTCCGCGCGCGCGCGCGTCGGCGGCCGCGTCCTGCTCCCGAAACGTGTTTTCGAGAGCCCGCGCGAGAGGTCGAGGCTCTCGCTCCAGGGGCATGTTCTTCTCGTAGGCATGTGCTACCGCGTCATCCGCGACGCGAAGCGGCGCATGTCGAACGTCCCACCGCGGGCCGAGGACGACCAGTGCCCCGCGTACTACGGCGTGGACTACATCGTGGAGAAGGGCAAGGCGGTCTGCAAGTTCACGGTCCACGAGGGCACCAAGACCCTGAAGATGAAGAGCGCTCCGGCGGACCGTCGGCGTTCCCGCGTCAAATCCTGTTTCTCGAGACGCCCCGGAACCCGCGGCCCGTAGCGCGCTTCGAGACCTTCGGCCACAACGCCGGGTCCCGCGGCAACACGCTGAGCCACCCGACGGCCGTCGCCGTCTACCGGCGCGATCTCGGCGTCCCCGTGCCGCGGCCATGCCCTCACGTGACCCTCGCAGCGAGCGCCTCGAGCGCAAGAACCGCATCGCCGGCGGCGCGGCCGCGGCGTCCGAAACCCGTCGTCGACGTTCGAAACCCGTCTCGCGCGTAGGCACCGCCGTCTTCAACTTCCCGTGGCACCCCTACGCGCGTCGCCGGCGCGCCCCGCGTTCTCCTGTGGTCACGGTGTCAAATCGTAGGAGGCGCTCCGGTCGCTGGAGACCGCCTTCGCCGAGTTCATGCCGGTACGTGGCTCGTCGGCCGATCCCTCGTTCCGACGCGCGCCCTTCGCAGGAACGCTTCTACGGCATCGACGATCGCAGTCGCTTCCACGGCAAGGTCGCGGCGGTCGCCCACGTCCCGGGCTCGGGCAACGGCGCCAGCGGCCTCATCGTCTTCGGCACCTACGACTCCAAGGTCGAGGTCGCGCCGCCGCGTCCCCGGAGTCCCGCGCGACGACGGACCGCGACCCCTTCTAGGCGGCGGCGCACTTCAACATCGGCACGACGGTCATCGGCCAGATCGTCGGCCAGCGGCTCCGCTGGCTCAACGACCCGATGGACCCGGGCGCGACCGCGGCGTCTCGTTTCGCGAAGACGCGTTCGCGACGCGCGCGACCCCTCGCAGAGATCGCTGCGGTCAAGGCCTCCTGCTCCGGCGTCTGCCATCGACGCCTCCACGACGTCGCCCGCGTAGGTCTCCATCCAGGAGAAGCACCGCATCTCCGAGGTCGTCGTCGCGCGCTTCGAGGAATGCAACGTCGCGCGCGCCGCGGCCGAGAAGCCGCTGCCGCCCCTCCACGTCGCGGGCGCGTCGCGGCGTCGACGCTTCGAAGTGATTCCAAACCCGTCGACCGCCGCAGGCCTCGAGCGCTACAAGGCCGACTTCGCGCTCCAGCTCAAGGATTTGGCGTACGTCGAGGCCGCGGACGAGGCCTACCTCCGCGACCAGGCCGCGGCGTTGGCGCCGCCCGAGCCCATGCCCGACGGCTCGCGGCCGCCGATCGACGCGCACTCGCGGCGCGTCGCGCGCGCGGGCCTCGCGAACACGTTCGAGCGCATGATCGAGCGCCGCCGCGACCGCGCCGCGCGCGAGCGCGAGGAGGCCCAGGCGCGACGCCGCGTCGCGTTTTTGACAATGATTTCGTGACTCGTCGGCCCCACGCAGACCGCCGCGTCGTCGGCCGCCGTCGCGAACTACTACCGCGACCCGTGCGGCCTCCTCGAGCCGCGGGCGCTCGTGCCGCCCGGCCAGCCGCGCCGCGTCGCCAAGCTCTACGTCGTGCCCAACTGCGAGATCGTCACGCCGCCGCCGCCGCCGATCTACCACGTCACGGAGAACGGCGAGCGGCTCCTCGTGCTCTACGCGACGCGCGTGCAGCGGCCGCTGATCCCCGCGATCCAGCAGGTGCACAAGCAGCGCGCGGAGTTCCTCTCGCTCTTCGACGAGTCGGAGGTCGAGATGGCCGCGGCCATGTTCGACTCGCGGCCCATCGAGATCGCCCGGCCGCTGCTCTTCGAGTCCGAGGAGGACGCGCAGCGCCGCGCCGAGCCGGCCGCGCCGAAGCGCAAGCGCAAGTCGCGCAAGAAGAAGCGCAAGGTGCGCGCCCTCTTCCCCGTGTTCTTTCGACCCCGATGACCCCTCGTCGCTCGCAGGCCGCCGCCGCCGCCGCCGCCGCCGCCGCCGCGGAGCGGGGCGACGAGGCGGCGCCCGCGGC